TGATATTTTCAAAGCCTTAGGGTCATCTGTAGAGTTCATAATGAGAAGAACTCATCTGAAGAAGGAAGAAGAAGTTCATAATAAGAAGAACTTGTTCAACCTTTTGCTTGAATTCATCATTCGATGGATCAGCATTTCCAGAAGAAGTTCATAATAAGAAGAATTTATTCAACCTTTTTGCTTAAATTCATCATTCAATGGATCAGCATTGCCAGGTCAAGTTCATAATGAGAAGAACTCATCTGAAGAAGGAAGAAGAAGTTCATAATGAGAAGAGCTTATTCAACCTTTTGCTCGAATTCATCATTCGATGGATCAACTTTTCCAGAGAAAGTTCATAATGAGAAGAACTCATCTGAAGAAGGAAGAAGAAGTTCATAATGAGAAGAACTTGTTCAACTTTTCGCTTGAATTCATTATTCGATGGATCAACATTGCCAGGTCAAGTTCATAATGAGAAGAACTCATCTGAAGAAGGAAGAAGAAGTTCATAATGAGAAGAGCTTATTCAACCTTTTGCTCGAATTCATCATTTGATGGATTAACTTTTCCAGAGAAAGTTCATAATGAGAAGAACTCATATGAAGAAGGAAGAAAAAGTTCATAATGAGCAGAATTTGTTCAACCTTTTGCCTGAATTCATCACTTGATTGATTAACTTTTCCAGAGAAAGTTCATAATGAGAAGAACTCATATGAAGAAGGAAGAAAAAGTTCATAATGAGAAGAATTTGTTCAACCTTTTGCCTGAATTCATCACTTGATGGATTAACTTTTCCAGAGAAAGTTCATAATGAGAAGAACTCATATGAAGAAGGAAGAAGAAGTTCATAATGAGAAGAGCTTGTTCAACCTTTGTTTGATGCTATCACAGAAGGAAATAGATCAGTATCAGCATTTCCAAAAGAAGTTCATAATGAGAAGAGCTTGTTCAACCTTTTGCTCAAATCCACCTCTTTTAAGGATCAGCATTTCCAGAAGAAGTTCATAATGAGAAGAACTCATCTCAAGAAGAAGAAGTGCATAATGGGAAGAACTTATTTAACCTTTTGTTCGACTCGTCATAAAGAGAAATATATCAACATAAACATTATTTAACCTTTTGTCAAATCCATCACAGAAGGAGGTGGATCGTCATTCCCAGCAAAATGTTCATAATGAGAAGAACTTATAGCTCAGAAGTTTAAACATTTCAAGCTAAAAATGGTGTTTTTATGTCTTTGCTCCATTCCTGTTCCACAGCAACGAGCAAAGAGGGGCAGCTGTAATCATCATTTTTACCTCTCCATTCCAGCAGCTCCACGTTGCATTTCCAGCAATTTCCAGCAGCTGCAGCAGCTCCATGTAGCAGCTACAAACCGCCTCCAACGACGCTCGACCTGCTGCCTCGCCTCGCCGAAGTATCCAGAAGACTCAAAGTTGCCGTCCACGTCGCTGCCCTATGGTGAGTCACTACCATAGTTTGGTGACTCACCTCAAGGGCCATTCTTTACCCGGTTCGAATCCATCACCAATGATGGTTATAAAAACCATCGACCATGCCTGCAAACAAAAAAAAAGGAGGACAACAAACAACCAGAAAGAAAAAAGAGAGCAAGAACGAGAGAAGAAAAAAAAAGAGAGATAGAAAAGCATATAAACCAACGATCCCAGACAATATCAAAACGAAGAACAAAAGGAGAAGAAGTTGAGAGCCTTACCACCAGCTTTAGAATCTTCAAAAGCCGCCGGAAATCCAGATTTAACCGAAGGTAACCACTTCGGTTTATTTAGATCTATGGTAAAATAGAGGGTTTTAAAAAAAATGCTATATTCGGGTTAAAGGTTTAAAAGCGAATCATTTGGGTTAATTTGTAATTTCCGACCACCGGAGACGGTGGCCGGCGGTGGCGGTCGATGGCGGTGTATGGCGGCCGGTCGGAGACCGGATTCCACCCGGTGAAGGAATTTAGAGAGGGAACAGAGAGAGTTCTCATCTCTCTCAAATAGAGAGAGATTGAGAAATGAGAAATGAACAAGAATGGCCTTAAGGCCAATTGGAATAGGGTTTAAATACCCCCACCAAAACGACGTAGTTTTGGTAAGGGCTTCTAGGTAATTTCACGTATGGTTAAATACGTCCCGTAATGTCTGTAACTTTGTAACATTATATTTTAGTCACTTAAATCAAACTTCGAACCTTTTAATTCAAACTCTTAATTTTATTTTATTATATTATAGTCCCTACTATATTTATAAAATATTTAGGATAATACCATATTTAATCCTTTTAATTTTAAATATTTATATTTTAATTACCAGTTAATAATTAAAGCTAATTATATTATATGTACCTATATGATATAATATTTCAAGTTATGTCTATTAACTTTAATATTTTTATAATTTAATCATTAAAAGCATATTTCTATTTATTTTAGTTTGGCATCTATATTTTATTTTATTTCCTTTTAGTCATTTATATTTTAGAGTAAAATATGATAAAGATGGTATGATTTTTTTCCAGACATGTAATGATCATATTAACCTAGTTGTAGCATGATTTTGTTATATAATTTATGTATGTAGGGTATATAATTAAATTAATACTATTTGCACGTAGTTGTAGTTTGAATCATTGAAAGATTCCAAAAACATGCGTCCTAACTAAAACAATTCATTATTGTTTTCTATAAAGTACAATTTAGACTTATCTTGATGATATTATATTAAATCACCATGACCCCATTTTCTTTAATTTAACAAAATCTTCAAGAAAGATACATATGTCTAGATGTATCAATAAATTGATTTTTTTTAGAATTTAGTATTTAAATTTTATTATATTAGTACATGTATACTATATTTTTAATTTCTCTTATTTTAATCATTATTCATTTGCACTATTATTTTGATATTTTAATTATTGCTTTAAGTATTATTTTATTATTTTTATCTTAGTCTTATATATATATATATATATATATATATTGTTTAAATAATAATATTTATTTATTTTTAATATCACAGAAAATGACAGTCTTAAAGCAACTAGATGTCATATTCTGGTATTTTAAAAATAAATAAATATCCTACTTATAAAAACCATAAAACACATTGTTTTATTTTATTAAGGAAAATTATTATTTTTAATATTTATTTAAATATTAAGAAAGGGCAGTCTTAAAGCAACTGGATGTCTATTTTCTGATATTTTAAATAAATATTTTGCTTTTATCAATTATATATATTAATCTATACTTAATTATCTTTAGATAAATATTTTATTAATATTTATTTTTTAATATTAAGAAAAGAGCTGTCTTAAAGCACCTAGAAGCCCTTTTCTGATATTTCTAAATAAATACCTTATTTAAAAATATAGATATTAATATATTATATTAATAAGTTTGAAATAACAGGATTATGAATTAAATATATTTTTGAATTTTTAAATTTTCAATAATAGAGACAATTTATAATTAATAAGTACCAATTTTGGGCGTTGTAGGGGTACTAATCCTTCCCTAAACGTAACCGACCACGAATCCCTTTTTATTATTAAAAAGAACGAATTTTTTGGTTAAAACGCAGATCAGTTTATCTTTTAATTGATGTTTTCTTAAAAACTCTTTTAAAAGATATTTTTTAGGTATTCGACCTACCTGACCCAAAAGGCCGATGGCGACTCCTAAATTATTTTCAAAACCATTTATTCACATCATTTTTCCCGCCAAGTAAAAATTCGTGCCCGGACGAAAACCGGTTACGACAATGTGTACTTTATAATGTATATATATATTTATATGCAGATTACATCATTATTATCTTTAAACATGTTTGGGTTAGATTAATATATATATATGTATATTAGTTTTTTTATATATAAATAAATATTATTATGTGCGACCAATTTATATAAATACACCTTAACTAACAAGGAGTTTGTTTTTCAGGATTGTTCGTACGAAATAATACCCTTTTCAAAATTTTTATAGGATCATAATTTAAATGAATATTTAAATTTGCCAATTTTAATATTTAAATGACGTATGATCGCTTAGGTACCGATTTCGGGCGTTGTGGGGTGTAATCCTTCCCCACGCGTAACTGACTCCCGAACTCTTTTTCAAAATGAATTTCTGGTTAAATGCATATCATTTTTTATCTTTTAAAATTATTTTTATTAAAATTATTTTAAAATGTATTTTTAGGTATTCGACCTACCTAACTCAAAGGTCGATGGCGACTCCAAATCTATTTATTTGTTTTTTTAATTTAAAACCTATTTTTTTCCAAGATTAAGTTGGATCGCTCCCTGTCATGGCCCAAAAAGCTTAAGAATCGTTCCGACAGTTACATTTCTTTTTATGTCTTAAAATATTTTATTGCATTTTACGTTTTAACTCACTTTAGTTGTATAAACGTCTCACTAAGTTTTATTTAGTGCGTGATGATTTTCATGCGTAAGTTTGAATAAAGAAAATGACGTGAAGTGAGGAGCTTTCCGAGCATATTTTTGAAATCAAACCTGCTAACATTATCAGTAAGACATCTTATTTTTGACTTATTAGTAACATGTACATTATATTTGTTGTGTTGCTTTATCGAATTTATTTTAAAAGGGTATGTAATAATAATTTAGGACTATTTTAGCTTTGGCTATTTTAGTTATAATCATATTATGAAAGAATAGTATAAATGTTAGGTTTTAAATGGTTTTTAAATTAATCAGTATTTAGGCAATTTTATATAATTATGAAACAAAATTGAACTGCCTAATTGCTACGTAAAATCGGATTTGTATTGAATGATAAAATATTAATTTATGAATATATATGCTTAATAAAACATGTTTAAGGTTGATAAAGAGATGTTTTACAATGAAACGAAATTTTTAAGCAATTATGTTCAAGGAATATTCTAAAATGTTAATGTAACATTTTTAACTCGTAATTCTAGATGTATACGGTTAATGAGTGTTACAAATACAACAAGCTATAACAGCACCGGTAAATCTAAATTTAATCACCCAAAATTCTTCTTGATATACAGCTCAAAGATTCATATTTACACATTTTATGCCCAAGAAGTTCCTTTGAACAGCTAAAAGTATATATATATATATATATATATCGTGTAGTTCTTACTCCACAAACCAAGACCTCCAAAAATCCATTTCCTTACCAGTTGAGGAACAAACCTGTGGTGCATACAGCCTACACATATTTTGATGGTTATCTAAAGTAGCCGGATTCTCGCGGACGAGCAGCCCAAAGCGAACTCAAAGCACGTAGACGATGAAAGTATTCCCCCATGGCAAGAAAACCTCGAGCTGCTTGACTTGTCGTCAGGATTCGAACCATCTGTTGCAATGTCTGCTGGCGAAGGTGGTCTGCCTGTTCTTGGCAACAACACATGCAAATTCCAGTGAACAATGTGGACATTCTTATGGCTTAGACACAATTGATGTAAAGCATAGAATGAGAGCAGAGCAATTCACAACACTTGAAGTGATGAATGTTTAATATGAAAATAAAAGCAAAAGAAAAGAAGAGGATGAATTAGAATGTCGTACCTGATTTACAAAGTTCTCTAGGGCTTCCAACTTATCTATTGCATCAACCATCTGAGCGCTGTAGTTTACCGAGCACAAATCGGACGCCATGCCCTCGGCCAAACTCTGCTGCAGTTTATCTACTCCTCGGGAAAGAGCATCTTCGGCTTGCTGAGATGATTGTCGAAGATTACAAACCTCCAAATGTTGTTGATCGGTCAATGGCTCAATTTGTGGCACCACAACCTGAAGAAACATCATTATTAACCAAAAATCGTAGGAAAAAGAATAATAAAAGAGTTAAATGCGGTGTGAATTACGTTTAGAATCTCCGATGGGCGGAATCCTCCGATCCAGTGGAAAAAACGCTCGGCTGAAGTTCTCCAAGTGCCTGAGATCAGATAGAAGACATCCGCCTTTGCAGCGTCTGCCTTCATTCGGAACAGATTACAATAGTGGTTCAAGCCACTTTCTACCAGTATACGAAGCTCTATATCCGAAACGTGAGCCTGGAGTGCGGTTCGAAGTTCACAAATCTGCCTATTTTGCTCTTCAACCCAGTGCATGTACTCCATCTCGAATGCAGTAATCCCTGGAACATTCAAATCAAACTATTCTAAACAAGAAAGCAAGATATAAATGTGATACTCATAGGGAGGGAAGCCTTAGAATTGTTTACCACTTAAGATCACAAACCTGATTTTACAGTTCCAGGCAATCCAAAACAACCGGCATCCGGTGCACCGCTTATGCATAGACCCTGCATCGAGGCATTAACCAATTGGTCACCTATACCACGCCACATTTAGAAACACGGTTAAAGAAGAAAACATACCTGCTGCCTAGTTCTTTCCAGCTCCTGCTCCAATTGAGCTAGTTTCAAACGACTCGATTCTAGTTGTTGAACATAGGCCTATATGATGAAATCAGTTCATAAGTACATGTCCAAGCAATGAAATAAGTACCATAAGCAAATTCTTTGTATCAAATCCATCTCCGTCTACCTTTTTCCGCAAGCGGCTTTTCCGAGCAGCTTCGCGATTCTGTGCCAGACGTCTCTGTATCTGCACATATCATGGTTCTTTAATAAAATATACATACAATTGAAACAAGAAGGACATGTATGTGCTGAATATTACCTTATCGGTGGGTTTGTTTGTCTCTTGATCACTTATGGAAGGTTCAACTTGCTCATAAGATATATATTCAGCCTGCGATTTGAGTCAGCACAATTGAGTTCTATAGCCTAAAACTGCAGAAAATGATCAACCAACCAAGAAATAGAACAGTAATGCAACTTCACCTTGTTCTTTAGCCCGACATCTGCCGGCATAATTGTCGATGATCCAGTATTCGGACTATTGTCGACGACGAAGGCGTCTCCCCACCTGGCTATGTGGTGGAATTGCTCATATATCGCCATACTTCTCGTAAGTTCGGTTGATGGAGAGTTCATGCTCTATCAAGCAACTGGAACAGAACCACAAACCAACAAATAGCTTACAGAATCCTATGACGAGAGGATCGAGTATGCGATTTTCGACAATATTCGCACGGTTTCCTTACCTCTATCTATGGATCAATCTCCATCGGAACAAATGCCTGAAACGAAAACAAGAATCAACTCGATATTCGCAAAAGTCCCAACAACTATGGAACAAACAAGGAAAACAAATGAACCTCTCAAAAGTTTCATAAACCCAAAATTAGAAGAAGAAAAAAAACTTGAGATTTGAGAAACTATACTAACCTTGTGGATCAATAGAACTTCCTAAGCAAATGAACACTCAAAACCTTTAGTATTTCTCTGGGGGAAAAAGCAGCTTCAACCACTCGTTGAAAGCAAACGAAGAATAAAAAACAACCCACAAATTAAAAATAGTTCATAAACAATGAGAAAGTAAAGGGAGATGTAATTTGATTTATTTCTAAGAATCGCTAGTCAAAATCTGTGAAAAGGAATCGCTAGTCTAACGTTAGTGTCCGAGTGCCGGCACTTAAAGCAGCATAAATATCAATAAGCAAGCAAAAGAAAAAACGCTACAGCTAGGAGAAAAATAATATGCCCATAAACTTTTTTGTCGTACGCACCCCCTTAACCTATGCCACTTGTTAATTAAATGCGTAAATATATATTTTAGGACTTTATCTTGGTTCCTAAGTCAATTTGGTACTTGAAGATTTTTTCTTGTCTGAGTAGACATTTCAATTTGACTTACTGGTTCAATTTAGTATGGGTTAACTACATGGATAGTCACTTATGTTTATGTTTTGTCCACTTTTGGTCACCGATTTCAAAAAAATAAGATATTTTCAGTTTCGTTTTTATTTGATTAAGATATGGTCACCTTCGTTTTTATTTAATTAAGATGTGGTTATCCCGAGTTAACTGTCGTTAACGACAGTTAAATATTTTGATATAATCACACATTTGGTCACTGATTTCAAAAAAATAAGATATTTTCACTTTCGTTTTTATTTGATTAAGATATGATCACCTTCGTTTTTATTTAATAAAGATGTGGTTATCCCGAGTTAACTGTCGTTAACGACAGTTAAATATTTTGATATAATCACACATTTGGTCACTGTCATTTACATATTCTCTTAATTTAGTCATATTTTTAATAAATTAACTTAAATTTAATCCTCCAATCGAATGATGACAAATATCATGTCACGTAGAAGGTGTTCAAAAATACTCAACCCGATATGTCGACCCACCGACCCAGTTAAAAAATACAAGTATTTATAATAAAAGTACCTAATTTTTTGGGAAGGGTGCCCGACCCTATATTTTTCGATTTCTAGGTCGGGTATGGGTCACAAAATGTTGGTTAACCAGGTACCCGTTGACTCGGTACCTTATTTATTATATATTTTTATTTTTATTAAATTTTTTATTTATAATTCTCAAATTATTTCACTATAACATTCTAAAATCCTAATTTCTTAAATTTTGACACCATAACCATTATCATTCTAAATTATTATTTTTAAATATTTATTTTAACTTCAAACATTTGAAATTTAATTTTATTTCTTTATTTTGATTTTTAATAAATTTTATTTTCAATTATGTAATTTATTTTTTATAATTATATATATATTATTTTAAAAATATTTTTATATTAACTTATTAAATATATTTTATTATTAACTTATTTTTAAAATATTTTTTTTATTTTCATTTAAAAATATATAATTTATTTTGATTTATTAAAAGTATGGCTAAATTGAGAGAATATATAAATAACAAGGACCAAATGTGTGATTATATCAAAATATTTAACTGTTGTTAACGGCAGTTAACTCGGAGTGACCACATCTTAATTAAATAAAAATGAAAGTGATCGTATCTTATGTTTTTTTAAATTAGTGAGCAAAAGTGGACAAAACACAAATATAAGTGATCATATGTGATTAACCCATTTAGTATTTCTGGTTTTTTTGTCCAATCACATAACTGAACTTGGCTTTTTAGCTTAAATTGATTCTTTAACATATTTTAAAAAGTTAAATTTTACCAAATGTGTAACAACAGTGGTTAAAGTACTTGTTAATCTTTAAGGTTTCGAGCATGTCTATTTTTGAGATTTTAGTGGTCTGAGGTGAATATAAAAATTAGGCCTCAATAACAAGTATTAAAGATGAATTAAAAAATAATTAAGTGAAAAGTAAAAAATAATTTCAAATTGCTATTAATTTTTAATGATGAGTAACAAAAAAGAAACAAAATATAATGTTAAGTATGATTTTGAAGAAAAATAATAATTTGATGTCCAAAACAAAAATAAAATAATAAGTGAGTGGCTAAATAAATAATTTATCCCTTTTAATTATGTATAAATTTATAGTTTTAGTCCCTGAGCAAGTGGGGGCCTTGGGCGATTGTCCCTTTTGCCCATGCTCAGGGACGGGCCTGGTTCCGAGTTCGAGTATCGCAAATGTTATGAAAATGAGTGTAAATTGTCAAATAATTGAAAGTATTTGAATAGATATTACATTGTTTATCCAGATTTAGCAAAAAAAAGAAGATAAATTTATGTATCAATTTCAATATCAAATTAAATTACTGGAAAAAAAATCATAAATACAAAATTAAAAAAAATTAACCCAAATATAAATTTACTTCAAAAATTAAACTAAATATTTAATTAAATAAAAAATAAACGTTTTTGGTAAAGAATATTAAATTAAACTTTAAAAATTAAATTTAAACATATTTGCCCTACTTTAATTTGTAGTTGAAGTGTTGGTGATCGATTAATCATACTATTCAATTTAAATAGTTCAAATGATTATTATAACAAATTTTGTTAGTTATAGTTTAACTGTTAAATAGTCCATGAGGAAGGGGTCCCACGTGGTGGAATATCAAAGTAATAGAGTTCCATAGTTTAAATCAAGGTATATCAAAGTAGTAGAGTTATGGACCATTGATTACATATGTCAAGCCTACACATAGTACAAGAAACCAATGAAAAGGTCGTTTAGTTTTCTTCAATTTATAATTTACACTCGAGGTCATTCCTTAAATCAAAATCTCATTTCTATCCCTAATTGGGTCCAAAGTATATCCAAATCAAACCTAAACTTAGTCCAATGACCCTAAATATATGAACTAAACTAGTTCTTAAGATAAGGGTTAATGAACAGACGTTGATTTGCAAATACGAGTAGTTACGTAATCATTTTAAGATTTCAATATCTAATCGATTTGATAAAATGGGGAAAATGAAGGAATGGTGACAATTAACAATATTACAACTATAATGGTATGTCTAGAATTGTCCACTACTTCTTATTGATGATGAATGAAGAAGTTGGATATGGATAGGATTGTAATCCAAATGAAAACAAGTTCATTGGGTTATAAGGCAAAACTAGGCAAGGGTCTATCATCAAATTAAATAGCACAATAATTTTGAGGTAAACCCCAAGAGCTCATTGTTTTTAGTTCTTTGAAGGGGGATAAGGGCTACCCCATCATCGAAATTGTCTCTCAAATAGCACCACTAATTTGCATGTATGATCTGTCAGCGCTAGAACTCTTTCATGCTCTTGCTTTGACCCACAATTACGTTGCTAGGATGCATTACATAGCCCCAACTTGCTAGCTCAATGATTGAATCCCCAGTCATAAGGCCTTTTCGTGCTGCTATTTATTTTTGAATTTTTTTTAATAGCATGGGTGTTTATAATGTAATATTTGTTTATAATTTTACTTAGTTATTGACACATACATTCCGGACACAACTACTCAAACCCATAATCTCCTATAAGTCGGTATATAAATTTCAAAATTCGATGTATCCCAAAAGACTCTCCTAACATTCTTATAAAATCATATCTACAACGGAAACTCCAAAGTTATAAAGATTTAAAAACTGAGTTTGCCTTAATTAAAGTTGATTAATTAAGATTAGGGAGAGGGAGAGAATATGTGTGTAAAGTATAAAGAGGAAAAGACATCCACTACACACAAATTAGGCCATGTATGTAAGTGACTTCACTTTTTCTTTAATGCTTTCAGGTTGGAGGTTTTGGATTCTTTCTTTGCCTTTTTTTGCCTTTTATTTTATGTGGTTATTATTTTGAATTTAACTTCCTTCCCTATCCCTCTCACCACTCGTGGAATAGAATCTAATTGATCTTCGTCCGTCTGACTAATTATGATGTTTTATGTTTTCGCCAACCAGATCCATGGGGTTTTAGACAGGAACACATTTTAGCACGTTTGGCATTATATATTAGTTCGGTTCCGATTAGGGATGAACATATAATTTTATATTAGAGATAAATTTTTAAAATTTTAAGAGAGAGAGAGAGTGAACCTATAAAATTCTAGGAGACGAAAATTTATTATCAATAGAAAATAAAAATAAAATTTCTTAAAAAATATGATAATTTAAAATTTTCAGGGCTAACGTCAGCTCCCTTATCACTCCATTCCCGATTCCAAACAATTTTTCCTCCTATCTTTAAAATATATATTTTATATTTTTATTTAATATACTATCAGTGTATAATTTAATTTAATTATTTGGATAATTTTAAGAGTTTTAAATGAGATGTTAATGATTTATATTGAAGCCTCGTCTTTTTTATTAGTTTTAGGTGATTATAATGTAGTATCTGTTTAGAATCTGTTTTAGTCGTTGATAATGCAAACACTCGCAGATGCATTTGCTTGAACTCAAAAGCTCTAGGGAGGATAACTAGGGGTGTAAATAGATCAAGTTTTGTACGAACGAGGTTGTGTCCATGTTCGTTTGTTTATTTTTAAAGGTGTTCGATTCATGTTTGTTTAAATTTTTAATATTGTGTTCATGTTCAATTATTTATTTTTTGAAGGTATTTTTACTTTTTTCATTTAGCATTCACGAACATATTCGTTTATATGTTTGCAAACATATTCATTTAGTGTTTGTAAATAATGTTTATTTGCAGGCTAAAAATGGTAAAATTATGCCACTGGTGTTTAAACTTCTTAAGCTTCATAGATTAAACTCCAAATTTCACCATATGTTTAATTTAGTCCATGCATTCACTAATATTTCAAATGTAAAACAAAAAGTAAATGTGCTTCTAAACGAGTAATTAAATTTGCTTGTTTTTTAATATAAACGAACTGAGCAAACTTTTATTCGCATTCGTTCGTTTATTAAATGAACATAGAAATCTTCTTCATACTCATTTATTTAGCTTAACAAACGAACATAAACAAACGTTATACGAATAGTTCATCGAACGCTCTATTTATTCACACCCTAAAAATTACTATCTCTTCAACTATTAAAGTTACTTAATCGGTTGATAACGTCACCCTTTTATAATAGTTAATGGATTTTGTTCTCCTC